CCAGGGAAGGCTGTCAGCTGGCCTGGCATCAGCCAATGGAATACAAATACAAAGAGTAGTAAATGAAATATAAATCAATACAACATGAATCCAGCAACAGGCTGTGAGCCCCAAAGGTTTATGCAGGTAGGAGCGAAAACCCAATCGGACCAAACTCTCCGACCAACCCCCTGTAAGTTTGGAAACAGATGTTAAAGACTCAAATTATGGAGCAGTGATCGTAGGGATCTACATAACAGCTCAGAGTCTGGTCATCATCTAAGAGCTTCTCCTGAGACACGAATCTGCACATTTGGTGATTAATAGCCCTGTGATAGACTGGTTACCTGTCCAGGTGAACCTGCCTTCACCCTGAGTCAGCTGGGATAGACTCCAGCCCCCAGTGACCCTAGTGAGGATTAAGCGGTGTATAGATGATGGATGGATGCATAATTGGAAGTAAGTATTACAAAAGATCACAAATCTCCAAAAACACACCCACTTATTCGGTGCATTCAATGAAATCAGTCCTAACCATCAGTCATTGTGCTGTTAGACTGTCGTGCATTAATACTCATTATGTTCAAAGAATCACTTAATCTACCAGCTTTTTAATCAATATCTTCTTCCAACTCAGTCTCTTCATTGCCAAGCTGCATATTTACCAACCCCCTGTGGCTCTGATGCACTGTAGCCTGGCTGGTAGAGTTTACATCACCACATCCCTTAAAGAGCATACGATGAACAAAAGGGAAAGTCCAAACACGAATATTGTGAAAAAACCTTCATCATACCAGCTCCCCAGGATCCAAATGGTCCTGAAAGGTTCCCAAAGTCAAACCCTGGTATGTTATGTAATTCCTTGTGGCGTCTGAGATATATGAGCAGCACTCAGAACCTACGACTTTGTAAGTTCCTCCCTGGGCTGCCCGACGGAGGTCAAGGGCCGTGTGGTTCTGAAGAGCTAAGGTTCTGACCTCCTGTATGCTCCGTTAACAACGCTGCACCAGATTTACTGAGATGTAATTCTAGCACTTTGGAAAGAGTCATAATGTTCCTGTGGGGACCATACATGCCATAGCTGGGGAGACGTATGCCCATTAGCAAGTTCCATCTAACGTAGAGGACGGCATGCAGCCATACGTTTTATCTCCAAAACCAAACAGGGAGCGGTGACTGTATGAACATCACAGGTACTCAGAGATGCTTTTACTTCTTCCTAACTTATCATGTTTTTCAAAATAGGGCCCAACATCTTTAATACTCTGGATGAAATAGGTTTGAATTGCTTGTTTCTTCATCAGTCCACAGGTTCTGGATGGTTCCAGTCAGGACTTTGGGGAGACCAGTCTAGAACCTTCATTCCAGTCTGATGGAACCATTTCTTCACCACTTTGATGTGTGTTTGGGCTCATTGTCTGGTTGAAACGTCCAACTGTGTCCAAGATCAACGTTCTGCTGATGGTTTGAGGTTTTCCTGAAGAACATGGAGGTGATCCTCCTTCTTCATTGTTCCATTTACTTTGTGTAAAGCTCCAGGTCCACTGGCAGCAGAACAGCCCCAGAGCATGATGCTGCCACCTCCATGCTGGATGGTAGGTTTGGTGTTCTTGGGGTTAAAGGCCTCACCTTGTCTCCTCCAAAAAACAATCCTGCATTTTGGTTCTTTCATAAATTCTTTATAGATCTTCTAGAAATATGACAAAATCTGCTGCCTCAAAACTAGACATACAGAAATGTTAATGTTTGGTTAAATGTCCTTCAGCCATTACAACCTCAGCTATGAGCTTTTGGTTTCCAACAAGAAGTTTCTGGTTGTAACTCTGACTCCTCTGGACAGAATCGCTGCAGTCCAACTAAACTTGTTGTCTTGCTGACTCTGACTTTTTTTCCTTCATTACAGTTCACAGGTTGTCACTGATGAAAACCTTCATTCCAGCCTGATGGAACCATTTCTTCACCACTCTGATGTGTGTTTGGGTTCATTGTCAACTGTGTCCAAGATCAACCTTCTGCTGATGGTTTGAGGTTTTCCTGAAGAACGTGGAGGTGATCCTCCTTCTTCATTGTTCCATTTGCTTTGGCTCCAGAGCATGATGCTGCCACCTCCATGCCTGATGGTAAGTTTGATGATCTTGGGGTTATAAAGGCCTCACCTTCTCTTCTCCAAACATAATGTTGCTCTGGTTTTGTTCCATCTGACCACAGAACTTTCATGAAACTAAGAAAATCTGATAATTGAAGTTGCCGCATGTCTATTTTTGACCTGGAAGATTTTGTCATATTTCCAGAAGCAATATAATAAATCCGTGAAAGAACCAAATAGTTTTTTGGCTGTGACAAAGATTCATGTGTTTCAGTCGTCATAGAGAGTTCAGTTCTAGGAGTCAGATGATAAACATGGGCTTTATAGTGGATGGAAACTTTAGTTAGTGACTGTAGTTTCATTTGAAGTTGTCAAAACTCAAAAAGACTGATGCAAACCGTTGTGTTAATTTGTTGTTGTTTACTCAAAACATTGTTTTTTACTCTTGTGTTAGTCTGACGTTGCACACAGACTCAGGTTTTGCACTGATTTATTTGCAAATGATTTACAACATTTCACACTGTTCAAGTGGAATAATAAATATCAAACAATATAAAGCCATCACTCATAGTAGAAGTCACCTAATAATTCGTGTAATTCCTTACCCTCCTCACGCTAGTGCACAATCCGACAACAACACACACAATCTACAGTGTATTACAGAGTCTGCATTCCTTTGTGCTTCAGTTTAAATGTGTCAACGGCAATAATCGCCACAAAACATCTCAGCAACAGCCCACCAGTTCAAACCGGACACACAGAAGAGATCAAAAAGCACACTGGTGGGAAGATTTAGTCTGAACAGTTGGACAAACATCTGTATCTGGTGTAGCTGAACATAGGCTCTCAGAACAGGTTGGACTCCTGGATATACAGCAGAAATGACAACAAGGAAGACCTGAAGAGGATAAAACCAGACAAGTGTCAGTGCAACGCTGTTCGACGACAGTCCAAGATGAGCCAGTGAGTCTAGACTCAGTCCACAGGTAAAAGTTTAAAAGGCTCAAAAGAAACTCCTTCACGGCTGAGACTCTGAAGACGTACGGCTCAGCTGGTAACTTCAGACACTAAATAACAGGAACATGTGATCTGTGGAGCAACACTTCAACATCTTAATTATCCAACAACATCAATAAACATCATTTAACGATGACCAGTCAGACCATCAATGAACCTTCAGCCTTTAAACTGCAGGTTGAGTTTTAAATCTTGTGTCCAACCTTCATTGGTGCCACGATCGGAGGAACAATTGTATGAGTGTTGTGGAAGAACCTGGAAAGCATCCAAGAAAAGTTTCCGATGCTCCAGAATAAAAAACAAACTCTACTTTAGTTCCTGAATGTCCAATAAAGTCTTTCTAAACTGTTTGTTTTCGACCGTTCGTCTTCGAAATGACGCTGTCACGGATTGAATTTAGGATTTTTTGACATTTAAGTGAAATTTACTCGCTTCTGTTTCATACTTGAAGTCTTCAGGTCCGGTTGTTTCTGTCATGAATCAAGTCACAGAGGCAGACAGACGGAATTATACTAAACGTGTTGGTTCTGCTTCCATGAGCTGAGTCCGTTTTAACGACATCCGTTTATTCAGCAGCCGTAAGCGGTCGAAGCTCTAAACAGAAAGGTCGTCTGCTCTGGTCCGGCTGCTCGTCCCGCTGGTTCTACTGAACCGTCGCTTGTCTTTCAGCATCAGTCCGTCCGAGCCGCCGTTGTGGATCTGACTGTCCCTCCTCTCTGGACCGTAACAGGAAGTGTCCGTCTTCAGGTAGCCGCCATCTTGCATCGGAGCATCGCCGGTCTTCTGCCATCCGTTAGAGTAGCAGCTCATCTGCAGGAAGTTGGCCTCGTCCACCATCTTGTTCTTCTCGGTGGCCATGTTCTCGGAGTTCTGCTGGCTGGCGAGGCGGTGGCTCGGGAACGGCAGCGGCAGGAAGTGGGAGGAGCCTCCGACGCACTGGCTGAAGTCCGGAGGAGGCGTTGACGGCGGCGGCGGCGACAAAGAGAGCTGACGGGTCAAAGAGGCGTTAGCTGGAGCGACGAGCTTCTGGGGAAAGAAGATCCGCCTGAAACAAGAGTTGAGGGTCAGTTAGTGAACAGAAGTCGAGTAAATCAAGCCTCCGTTATTTATACAGAACATTTAAAGCAACAGCAGATGAGTCAAAGTGGTTTCTAGCTGAGAAACGAGATTAAATACTGACCTTAGAAACCTACGGTGTTACATAAGCTGTGACTTTACCCAAATAATTTACATTTTAAGGATTAAAACTACACAAAAAAGTGTATAAACTACAATTCTGTCTGACTATTCTCAATATTAAGGCGAGGAACCATCAGTATCATTAAACTTAGAGAACAACCTGAATGATTTAGGCTGCAGTCAGTGTTTTAATTTAAAAATGTTTTTATCTCTTTACAATATTTCGTTATTGCTCTTTTTACTGTTTACCTTCATGGTTCACTGTCTTCCTTTAATATTTTATAGTCCTTTGTGTAATTTAATGTTTCATAAAACACATTGAAAGCCCAGTTTTTAAAGGCGCCAGAGAGTTTTTATTATTACTATTTGAATATTAAGGCTTAGACCCTACAGTATTATATACAGTTGATCTTACAGCAGCTTCATCTTTTAGTTAAGAAAAACCTCAAAACATGAAAGAATTTTTTTGGCCTTTTGGCGGCTCTGGATGGTCTTATTATTTCATATTTATATTTTAGAAATTGTTCTTACAAGTTACTGTCCTGTTTTGCCCGTTTTTGTAATTTATCTTGTTTTAAATTTGTCTTTGGTCAACTTGGGTCGTTTTAAACTTAAAGTGATATATAAAGATGGGATTTAATTCATTTTTTAAAGCTAAACAAAAGCATGAAAAAGTCAAGAACCACTGAAGAACATCTCTAAAACATACAAAACCCCTTAAAATAACTTAGAAAAACTAGTTGGAATAACTTAATTCTTTACGCATAATTAACTTAAATACGTGTGTTTATGCTACCAATGACTAAGTATTTAAAAAATACCTTTGAGTTGGAGAGAAAATGTTATTCTTTCAACTCATTTAGTTTGTTGGTTGAACATGATTTCATTAGAAGTTGTCTGAACTCAAAAGATAATGCTAGAACCGCCCGAACATTATTTATAAAATGTAATTCATTCAGCATTTTAGTCCAAATTTGAATTCTGCTTTTGTGATTTCAGAGCTCTGGGTTTATTCGTTCCACCCAGCGATGCCTTTTTGCTGCCGTCAGCTGTGAGTCTGTGAAACAATAGTGTTCACTCCAGTCTAACCCATAGCGAACCTGAAGAAATTCAAATGGCTTTTCTTTCCATGTTTCGGGTCTCCAGGGTTTGCTCTCGCTCAGTTCGGCCTTTACGGTAAATTCCAGGAAGCAAAAGCGAAACCACTGGAGGTTTAAAATAGTTTCTGGACTCTCATTGTGGGAAGTTTCCTTTAGATGTTACCAGAGATTTGGTCTCATTGTCGACTCATACAAAGACCTTTTATGCCCACATTAGTATGCATGGAGATCTTTTCCTGTTAAAAACCAGGCGTAGGATGGTCTGCTGCACCTCACTGTCATTGTGCTACAGCTGGGAACTGCTCTGACTTATTGTTATATCTTAAAGTCCGTCACAGTCGAGCCCAGAATCCCAAACAATGTAGAAATGTACTTGGTTATGAACATTTTCCCACAAAGAAAACACGCAAGACTTTCCTTATTAGACTGAAACAGTTTGTAAATTAGAATGTTCTGATCTGATCTCATGGTTTTGTCCACTAAGTTGGCCCAGTTATTCCTTCAGGATATCAGATCTCTATCGTAGTTGAAAGCACATTAGCTTTGGTTTGGAGGACATTAAACGCCACAGAAGTCTCTTCTTTTGTGGCGGCCCATCGCTCGCTAAACTCCCACAATGCTCTCTAGGACACTGATCACCGCATAAGTTGACATGTTGCTTTTAGCAGTAAAAGCTTGTTTTCAGCTGCTAAAAGCTTCATCAGCTCGTCTCTAACTGTGTCTGTCTAAAACGTGTGGCATACGGTAGGATTTTAGATTGTCATAGATTAATCGTAGCAACTGGACTTGCTTGAGTTCCTTGAAGATGTTCCACCTCTCACCCAAAAGAGGCTTCATCAGGTCTGACTGGCTCGTTGGGAGTTCCAGATACTTATATCCTTAAGGAGTCATTAACACCTGAGTTTCGGTTTCAGTTGGGGGTTTGTTGTTCCTCATCCTTGTTATGTGAGTCATTAGTGCTCCCCCTGCCACAGTGGGGTTCGTTAGGGTCTTTTGTGGCTCAGTGTGAACGTGGTTTATCTTCTCCCTAGGAAACGCCTTCAAGGAACTCAAGCAAGTCCAGTTGCTACGCTTAATCTACCAGAACAACCCTGACCTGGATGACTGAGAACCTTCACAGATGTAGGATTTTAGATCTTTTACGCCAAACCCAACCATTGGCCCCACGTATACCTTTGTTAGGGATCAGTATGAACCTGCTGTATGAATAAAGTTATTGTTTTTAATGAGAATGGCTGCCTGGTGAGGCTGAAAATGATGCTACAAGAGTGCTAAGAGAACAGCAAAGTTGTGACCAGAAAGCCAAGCCATGAGTTGAAGCTGATTCAGGTGATGAATCTCCGTAGGCCGCAAATGTGCTTCAATAAGGCGATAAGACAAGATGTTGTGTTATTTAATCTGCAGGTTAATTTTAAGTCATCGTACTAGCTGAAAAGCACTTTTAAAGGTCCCGTTTTTTGGTGTTTTGCATGACTTTAAAACAAAGCTGTGAGAACATGAAGACGATCGTCGACGTCCTCTTGACTCGACTTACAAACCAGAAATCACAGCTTGTTTAGAGCAGGACAAAGATAAGATAAAACTGTATTAATCCCAACTTTAACATCAACTTTGCGGTGCTTAAAAATTGAAAGATGCCTTCTGGGACCAGGTTCCATTAATTTGCTGAAAGGCTCCTCAACGCGAGGCCTTCAGGCGTCTGTGAAGCTCCTACCTGCAGCAGTGTTTCCAGGCCAGGTGGTGCAGCTCCAGCACGCTGAGCACCAGAGAAACGGCAGAAACAGCCAACATGAAGACGATGAAGACGTTTTTCTCCGTCGGTCTGGAGACGTAGCAGTTGACGGGATGTGGACAAGGCCAGGCCTGAGGAAGAAGAAGACACAGAGAGGATGAAATCAGGCCCAAGTATCACGACTTAATGTAAGAAGAGTGAATGGTCTGTGGTGTGACCTTGCAGATGTAGAGAGGGTGGAGGAAGATCCCATAGAGGAAGTACTGGAGGGACAGAAACACCACCTGGAAGGAAGAGAAATCTGAGTTAAAGGTTTATTTAATCACCGTGGTTCATTCATTCGTTCATTTCAGACCCTCCCCTTCACCTGCCCACCTGTTTCCTATCTCCAATCAGCTCCTCAGTCTTCAAGCTGCTCAGTTTCACTCAGACTGTCTTCATTTTGCAGCTTTCCAGGGATTTCTTCATCATTTTCTGCCTGTTTTTGACCTAAATCTGCCTTTTTGGACTCTGCTCACACACTCAGTTCAGTTTTTTACCACTTTATCTGCTGCTTTGTTCTTCAAGATCCAAGAAAAGATGAAGTTTGATGTTTCTATCAGCTGGAGAGAAGACCTCAGCAGAGATTCACCAACAGCGGTAATCAATTGTTATAGTTTACCTTATATTACTTCTACGTTAGAAAGTAGAAATGTAAGTTTAACGGGAATATTACACGGTTTAGTTGATTTAAATTAACTTCACATTGCAAGTAAGATGCTAAAACAGTGACCCGACTGCCTTAAAACTATTATTTTATCAAAGCATGTTTATTTTTTTGTCTTACAACTTTGGTTTTACTCATCATTTTGTATCTAGAATTTAGGTTCGCCCTTAAACATCACTACAAAAACATCTTGGAGATTAATTTAAAGGTAGAAAAGTTCATTTGGACTGTTTTGTCAGCTCACCTGTGTTGGTAAAATCACCATTATTCTAATTTTAGTTAGTTTTTTGTTCGTCTAACTCCACCTCCACCTCCACCTTTCTGTTGTGACTGAGTCTGGAAGAAACCACGAGGCAGAAAACACACAATAAAACCAAAACAAGAGGCTGAAGAGGCCGAGCTCTCACCTCCATGATGCTGCGTATCAGGATGCTGAGGACGTAGGTCTGCAGCAGAGCTCCTCTCAGACGCACTCGACCCGCCGACGCTCCTTCACTCTTCTCCTTCCCTCCATCTTTCTCCCCCTTCCTCCCTCGCTCCTCTCCTCCTCCACCTCCTCCTCCTTCACCCCCTCCTGGATCTTCCTCCCTCTCTCCCTCCTCTTCCTCCCGGCTCCTCCTCTTCTCCTCCTGGCGAACGGTGTGCATGGCGTGGCCCATGTAGATCAGACTGGGAGTCGACACGAACACGATCTGGAGCACCTGAGGACACAATTACAATTAAACCTACAATTAGACACTAAAAAAAATACCAAAATTACAATTAATAGTAAAGTTAGAGACTAAAAAGAAATACCAAAATTCTAATTAATTAATATTAAAGTTAGAGACTCTCACAATCAAAGAAGTAAATCAACTGTGCCTCATACAGAACATTTAATTCACTCCTCATGTCGTTTATGTCGAAGCTCAAAAGTATTCATGAACATTTTAACTGCAAACAAAACAAAACAAAAAAAACTACTAGGTTTTATTGTAGGCTGTATTTAAATCAGCAAAAATGTCATTTACAGTTATTTACTCTTATTTAAAAACAACAACAAAAGAACGTGTAAATTAGGATTGAAAAATGGTTATTAGTTATTAACTGTTATTTTACAGATGTTCCCTGTTTTGTTAAATTACAGATAATAAAAAAAATGTACATGTTTACTCTGGGGAAAAAAAACTGGACATAAGATCCACATCAAAAATGTTTGACTGTAAAATTACAAAATTAGAAAAAAATATGTATTTTTTTTTTACTGTGTTTAAATCAGCCAAAATGTCGTTCTTTTACAGATGTTTGTTGTTTATTTGACAGTAAACTTACGTACGTTAAGGACCAAAAACTTTGTTAAAAATGTAGTTTTACAGTTTTGGTGAATTACATGTTATTTTCTAGTAAAAAACAGAACAGCAAATTTAAAATCTTAATTTTTATTTTATTTTATTTATTTATTTATTTGTTTATTTATTTTTTGGGGGGTTATTTTACAGATATTTGGTAAATTGGAAAGAAAACATTTTTTTACTGATATTTTACAGATTTTCCCTGTTTTGTTAATTGCAAATATTTAATAAAACTACAGATAAAGTATTAATTTACATGTTAACTGTAAAAAAAAAACAAACAAACATATATTTAAAACTCTAATGTGAAAAACTGCTTGTGTTCTTTCATTTCAGGATTTCATCTCCTGCTGTTTGTCTCCATCCTGTGAAGTGAGCAGCTCGGTGTTTCTACCCAGTATCTGATGTGAGCGATGGGGAACGCTCGGTCGTAGCAGACGTTCTCGCAGCCCGGCTGCTCGGTGTCGCAGTTGAAGTCTTCCTGCTCGTCGCCCCACGAAGACTCGGCCGCCGTCCCCAGAACCAGGATGCGGAAGATGAAGAGGATGGTCAGCCACACCTGGGGAAGGTAGGTCAGGATATAAAACCACCTCCAGCACAAAAACATGGAAACATATCAGGTGTAGTTCTGCTGCTCAGAGACAATCTGGGGGTTCAGCGGGTTTTTCAAATGCTGTCGGATCTTAAATTTTAAATTAAAGTTATTTTGTTTTATTTGTTTTATTGTAGGGTCTCAGCTGTTGTATATAAAGTACTCTGGTAGTTTCACAGAATAAATAAGGATGGAGAGTCTTTACTAAACAAAACACTTATTTATTATATTCTAGTTATTTAATATCATTTATCATATGACATTATTTACTTATTTTCTGTGCTAACTCTGGTAGCTAAGGTGCCAAAAAAAAAAAAAGAAAGAAAAGAAAAGAAAACCTAAAAAGAAATTCTAACATAATGGAAGATATCTATTTACAAAACATATATTTTCAAGCCTGTTTAATGTTTACATGTGGAAAAAAAACATGTAAATATTTATAATACCTAAAAATCACATTAAAAACGACATACTATTGTATAATAACTATAATATTTTGGAAGCTGTAAGATAATGGAAAATAAAAAATTCAGACACTGACAATTTTAGAAACGTAATTATTAAATTAAACTAAAATTTAAGCAGTTTCATCTTTTTATGTCAAATATTTTTATTATAGTTTTTTTTATTGCTGCAGGTTTTTAATGGATTAAAACAGAAATTCCTTAAAATTGCGATTTTTTTTTCCTTTTTATTTATTGTTTACAGCGTAAGTTAATTTGTATTATCATCTTATTTCTTTTCTAGAAAACACTTTAAAAAAAGAAAAAAAGAAAAAACCCTCCAGCAGTATAACCTGATTTGACAAGTGGTGATAATAATCGTTTGTTTGACTTGTTCTATTTTTTTCCTGTGCAGTTTGAAAATGCCATAAAACACAAACTCCCATGAAAATATACATTTAAGATAGAACAAGTGGTTCTTTGTGTTATTTTAGAGGATATTCCAGATTAAACTGATTATATTAATGTGTCTTTAGCGGCCGTGTAACATAAACCAACGTTAAAGCTGCTTATTGTAAAACTCGTCGACGTAAACTTCAGTCAGGACGCACAGAATAAACAGGAAGACTTGGAAATGCATTAAACTTCTATTCTCAGTGTGTAAATGCTCTGACTGGTGCCGCGCTGGCTGGCATCAGACGGCCGTGTTTGTGTTTCTTACTTTGCCAACAGAAGTCGAGTGTTCCTGAACCTCCTCCAGGAAGTTTCCCAGCAGGCTCCAGTCGGCCATGACGGCTGCAGATCAGCGCCGGGAGCTTTCTGCAAAACTCAGACGGCGGTTTCTACAAAGAAGTTTCAGCCCGATGAAGTCGCTCTGCAGGTACAGAATCCACCTGAGCAACAAAACACACGGTTTAAATCAGCAGCAGGGTCACGTGGTGCGTTCAGGTACGTCTCAAAAACACAGGTCTGGCTTCAAAAGACGACGTCAGCAGCAGCTGGTCGAGCTGTTGCACCAAATATCTGTATTCAATCAATTTTAGGACTTAACTAGTGTTAAATACACATGGACAGGTGGATGTTTCTTCTCCTTTCTCCACCTTTGTTTAGTCTTTGGTGCTTTTCAAGAAAACTAAAGTGGAGGGAAACAAGACAAACCAAACAACAGCATCACCTTTTAACATTTGACATTACAATCTGGATCTTTTTAATATAAAAAACGTTGGAAATAGGAACCTAAAAATGAATATTTTTGATGTGCACATGAAAAAAATAATTATAACCAGAATAACACACAGATTTCATCTTATTTAGTTTCCAGTTGTTGATTTAAAACTTAAATTCTTTGCCTTTTGATATATTTCTGTTACTTAAATGTCCTATTTGTGTGCATAAATATTCTATTTTATTGCTCTACTCTCCTTCAGTCCTCAATTTGATTTAGTTGAAATAAGTGTTGATGAAATGAATGAATTCTAACGTCAAATAACTAAAAATATCATCACGTTCCAACAGTTTTATTCAGATTTAGTGAGAAATGCACCAAAATGCAGCAGATTTACATGAAACCTGTGATTTTTATGTCTGTAAAGCTTCAAGTAAAAAGAGTAAAAGTCAAATTAATGCATAAAGAAACACAATCTTGACTCTAATTACCTTAATAATCGTCTGTTTTCTCTCCTTTGTCTTGTTAAAATTAGAGCCGCTTCAATAAGCAGCTTTTCTTTTGGCAGTTTCCTGGAAATGTGGTTAAAACTTGCCCTGAAATCTTCTCTCCTGCTCATAAACTGCATTTTAATATCAGCTGAACTCACAATAAGAACGCTTTATGTGCGTCTAACTGAAACCAGCAGCGTTTGACCAAATAAAGACGTTTATTTAAGTTTTCTGTGAACAATAAGAAGAAAAAGTTTCTTCAGTAAAGCATCCAGAGTCCTCGTTGACCTTTGATTAATGAACAGATCTTCACTTTGTTCACAGTAATTGAACAGAAACTAGGATTAGCTTTGAAGTTGCAGCACTGATTTAAATAATAATCCCTGAGTTTGGTTTATTTCTATCATGCTGGTGGTTTAACTTTAATATGTTAAGACTCTGGTTCCATTCATTCACTAATCAGTCTAATTAATCTGTAAACCAGCCCACAGATGAATTGATATGTAAGTGAAGCACTCAGTCTGAACTGGCTGCTCAGGTTCTGGTGTGTAAACGTTGCTCCACTATCTCGACCTCGTGACCTTCTCCTCGACCTCATTAATAAAAACGTCTGAGTTTGGCTTCGCTCTCGGTTCCCACAGTCCATCATGCAGACGGCTGCTTCGGTCTGAGGGGAAGGAAAACCAGACGACGGCCGTAAGCAGCACACACAAACACACACAAACACACGCCCAGCATGCTCGTGTGTGTCAGTCTGCAGCCTGTTCAGCGCCGCCTACAGGCTGCAGACGTCATTACGGCTGCTGCAGGGAATCGGCTAAAAGTTCTGATGAGGTTTTAAAATGTTAATCTAAGGCTGTTGATAGGTTTAAATAATGTTCCCATGAGGTTCAATGTGAATGTTTCAGCTGCAACGTTCAGACGACGTTTTGAGGACGTCGCCAAACGTTCTCATCACAACGTTTGGAAACTGTTTTGAGGAGACAAAACGTAAAACGTTCCTGCAACTTCAGAGCAGTTTGCACAACGTAGCACGACGTCAATCTAACGTTCTCAATTTAACGACGCCTTTAGGAAGATGTCACCAAACGTTTTCAGAATGATTTTGGGGAACATTTTCTATTCTTGGAACAAAAAGAAATGCTTTTGGTGGAATATTCAAAACATTTTAATTAACATTAAAACAAAACGTGCTTATAATATTTTTAAAGAACGTTATTCTGCTCTATAATAATAAAATTGTTCTAAAGATGTTATCACCAAACATTACTACAACGTTTAGCAGAACGTGATTCTACGTTTAAGAACAATTCATCTTGAAACAAGAAGAAACTTTTTTTTTACTACAGTGTTGTACTGACGACTCGTTTCTGTTGAAATTTTTCGATTTTTGCAGAATCTGGTTCAAATATTTGACTTTTGGATAATTTTCTTTAATTGCAGAGTGACTCTGATGAACTGTAGCAGCTTCAGGTTTAGGTTCTGGTCAGGTTAGGTTCCTGACGGACGGCTCAACGTTTGATGGTTCTGTTCTGGTTTTCTGTGTTTTTGCTTTTAAAACCTGCAGCTTGTTTTGGATCTCTGAGTTGATAAGTTGTTAAACTTTGCGGCTAAATGTCACAGCGGTGAAGCTGAGACCCACAAACATCCTAGAATCAGAACATTAAAGCAGATCTTTAGGCGGTTGGAGGGAAATTCATCACGCTTGGAGCTGCAGAATCACACCCTCGCTGTCCCTGGATCAGTGTTGTTTGTGTGACCGGAGGGCTCGCTGCTCTGATCACTGAACACACTGGAGCTCTTTGACACGGCGGCTCGTTAAAGGCCAAGAAATGAAAAAATCAAACGGAAACTTGTCTTAAGGGCTTTGAAAGCGGTCGACGTTGCACTTCATGTATTTAGCGCCCTTCAGATGTCCCTCAGATGACCCCCAGATGTCCCTCAGATGCCCCTCAGATGTCCGTCAGATGCCCATCAGATACCCCTCAGATACCCCTCACGTACCCCTCAGATGTCCCTCAGATGTCCCTCAGATACCCCTCAGATGTCCCTCAGATACCCCTCAGATGCCCCTCAGATGTCCCTCAGATGCCTCTCAGATGACCCCCAGATGTTCCTCAGGTGCCCCTCAGATGCCCCTCAAGTGCTCCTCAGATGCCCCCCAGATGCTCCTCAGATGTCCCTCAGATGCCCCTCAGATGTCCCTCAGATACCCCTCAGATGTCCCTCAGATAACCCCCAGATGCCCCTCAGATGCCCCTCAGATGCTCCTCAGATGTCCCTCAGATGCCCCTCAGATGCCCCTCAGATGTCCCTCAGATGCCCCTCAGATGTCCCTCAGATAACCCCCAGATGCCCCCCAGATGCCCCTCAGATGCTCCTCAGATGCCCCTCAGATGTCCCTCAGATGCCCCTCAGATGTCCCTAAGATAACCCCCAGATGCCCCTCAGATGCCCCTCAGATGCCCCTCAGCTGCCCCTCAGGTACCCCTCAGATACCCGTCAGATACCCCTCAGATACCCCTCAGTTGCCCCTCAGATACCCGTCAGATACCCCTCAAATGCCCCTCAGATGTCCCCCAGATACCCCTCAGATGCCCCTCCCTTCCTGTTTTTCCTAAAACCCAAAAGCTTTGAAAGAACTTTGTGTGTGTTTCTGTGTTTTGTGTGTTTTCTATTTTTCAGTGTGTACCTGTAAGTGTATTTCTGTGTGTGTATTTCTCTCTCTGTGTGTTCGTGTGTATGTGTGTGTGTGTGTGTGTGTGTGTGTGT